TTATTATTATTATTGTTATTATTATTATTACTATTGTTGTTGTTGTTATTGTTGTTTTATAATTGTTGTTTATAATTTGTACAATTAACCTCCCTGTGGTTCGACCCCGGTCTTGCCGGGTTATTTATTACTTTGACACTCCTGCATTTGGGAGAAAATATCAATCTTTTAGTCGTGTCAATGGTGCTGTTGCAGTTGATGCTAAAGACGCCAGATGGTTGCTATGGTGGAGACGATGATGAAGGTTTGCAGTGGTGGCGTGGTTTTTATCCCACGGTGGCCCTGTGTTTTTCGGCTGAAGCTGCTATATTTCCTTCTCACTCCCTCTGTAATGTTTTTACCATACAACAGTCGCTTCTATCCCCGTTGTTGGTGGTTGTGATGGTGAAGACGATGAGGGCAGACGGTTGCACAACAACGGCGAGGTAGGTTGGTTGTGGTGGCCTTTTTTTTTCTGAATCTGTTCTGCTTCCTTCTCTCTACCTTTGCTGTGTTTTTTCCTTGCTGCATTCGCTTCTCCCCGTTGTTGGTGGTGCTGTCGTTGGTGACGATGAGGGAAAATAGTTGTTGTGGTGGCGACAAGGAATGTTGGTGGTGGTTGCCCTCTGTTTATACCGTGGTTGCCTTTTCTATCCGCTGAGTTTGTTCCCCTGCATTTATGTAACCGCTGGTTGCCCTTTTTTTTTCTCTTCTTTTAATGAAGCATTTTTGTATTTGCATTTCTGTGAGGTTGCTTCTTCTTTTCCCAAATTGTTTTGTTCCAGCATTGTCACACAAGCTCGGTATTCAAAAACCCATGTTAATTACCTTTTCTCTTCTATAACCGAAGTGCAAGGTGAGGAGCAGTTTATCGCAGTGTACCATAGCTTGTTTTTACATGTGTATTATTTTTTGAATAATGTATTTTTTTGTATCTTTACTTTTTTTCTTCTGTAACCAAAGTGAAAGGTCGGGAACAATTTATCGCAGTGTACCACTTAGCTCGTTTTTGCATGTGAATTGTATTTTGAATCCTTGCATTTTTTTGTTTCTTCATGTTTTATCTTCTATAACCAAAGTGCGTGCAAGACAGGAGTAGTTCTATCGCAGTGTACTAGTTAGCTAATATTTACATGTGAATTGTATTTTGAATCCTTGTATTTTTTTATTTCAAAATTTTTAATACATTTTACATTTTGTATATTTTTTCCCCTTACCGTTAATACACATCACGTGTATTTAGAAATACAAATTAATAGGTTACCAAGCTTCTAGACTACAATTTATATTTCTAACCCAAACTAAAACCAAGAAAAGGCTGATTTATCTTTTAAAATGGATGTAAAATTGGCTTTTCCGAGCAGTATAATTTATAATTAAGCAATTTTAATGTCGATAATTTAACAACCATTTGTTTGTATTTTCTACCGGTTGAATTCAAGCATGCATATTTTGTAAACTATAAAAGCATTGTCCACATCATATTACATTACAAATACATAGAAACTTTTAGGATTGCAATTCATAATACGTAGCACGTATCGAATAACACCACAACTTTCAATACTTTAATATACAGTCCGTTTTCATGAAAATAACAAATATTAATGCCCTATAACCGAAAAATAAAACTTACACACAACCTTTCCATGTCAGATGAGAATTGTTAAAATTAGAAATAAGGTCCGAACAATTCTGGTCGATTATCATCTTCAGATCTATGAAAAAATACATAATTGTCAAGATATTTTAAAACATGTTAGATATCAATTTAGATAATAATATTATCAATAAATTTATAAAAGCATGCATTCGGGATCAATAAATACCTCCCCGTCTATGGTACCTCACGCCGTGTAAACATTTTCTGCAACCATTTCATCTTGTTTTCAAGACTACCCATATTAAACCACATTTCTCTATTCCTTTTCATAACCTAGAACTCAGTAACAAACGAATGAAAATCATCACCAATATGAACTCCTTCTATTGAGTGCAGCTCAATCATAACCTCAAAAATACTACACCCTTTCTTATCTTTATATATAGATGTGGAATCACTATTATTTGACATATTGTCAACCATGTTATCAAACCGTGATAGTAGCTGCATCCCAATTCCAGAACTTTTTTTTCCCTGATTGAACGTCAAGACGTTGTCTTTCTTTTCTATTTTCATTGTTGCGTGTGTTGCTACTCTTGACATATTAACCCATCTAACCATGTTGCACACATCATCGGTGAAATTTAGAATTCTATCCTCTTCTGAATCACCGCTTCCTTCTTCCAAATCAGGTTGTTCATCATTGACATTTGGATCCTCAGCAACACCAACATTATCATCATGATGGATTCCAGCCGATGGTGCCCATGCATACTGTCCAGTAGCAATAATGTTGGTGAACATTCTGTCAAACTTCAACCGTAAAGACAGTTTGATACCAGCTTGCCTAAATTTTTTTACGCCTCTTATTTCCTATATAGAACAAATGGAATTATTTAATGCAGCTTGCCTAAATATTTTGGTAATTACTGAACTGAGATTTAATGAAATTAAAAATTGAGCAGCAAAATAACCTGAATTTTTATTTTCCACCACTCATGACTTGCAGAAATTGTCCCTAATTCTGCACTCCAGCCCACACCAGTTTCTGAAATGAACTTCGTTCATATCCTCCAATCCTTTTTGCAGTCATCCCATTTGTTCTTCAATTGTGTCTTTGTGAATGCGTGATCAGTTATTTCTTTGAAAGATGTTTGCAAATATTTCCAACCGGCCTTGTCGAAATGAGTATTCGATCTCATTCTCATATCGATGGCCTTGATGCAAAGGTCACAAAAGACATGCAACATTTCTTTATTCCATGCAGCTTTATCAATAGTTTATGGATTATCCATTCCTATTTGGATAACATATTTGCAAGCAAACATTATGAATTTTTATAACATGTTAATCATTTATGTAATATTGGAAGGAAGTGTATATGACATGCAATGGTGTACTACAACCAATACTATAAAGAACAATTACATTCAAAGTTGTTTGTCTTTAGCTATTTTTGAACTTATTATACTGTGTAAAGTATACTCCATTCACCTACAAGTGATTACCATTCTATAACCATTCTAGTCATTCCATACAATATGCATGTGTCCTACAAACAGCACACATCAATTCTGCACATCTTCATGCATCATCAAGGTAATTGAAATTCATTAGCAGTCAGCTCAGTTTCCAGCCGAAAGCATAAACATATCAAACAAATTCTAAATATATTTTTTTCTATGACCATCACCTCCCAGTTCTCAAATCGCAAAAGAAATAAGTATTCACAAATTCTATAGGATCAAGGCATAAACACTATAAAAGACATGAAGCAGCACATATTTGACTCAAATGGCAACAACATTATCTGAATTAAACACAATTATCAAAACAAATTCTGTAAAAAATTTTAAAACACACAGATGGTTAATTAACCTATTATCACAACATCGAATTTTTTTTTTTCCATATCAGCATTTATGCAAGCAAAATGTTGTGCTTAATTCACAATCCTTACAACACAATATATTCATAAATATTGTAACCCAGAACAATACACAACACCTAAACATATATACATATCTATAATTATCTTTAGGGAGGCGTAAAATTTTAACAAAAAACATACTCTTTATTGCACAACCGTCTCCTTTTTGTCCAAGTAATTTCTTATCCCCTTGTTCTTTTGCCTCTCACAGAAATCGGCTCTGTAAGCATAACAACAACAATCCCGAACACATTGTGAGAAGAAATACAAACGGGAAAATTATTTTAACATGTTGCAGATGAACATCAAAATTAAACAAATGGCAATATACCTTTATATTGAGCGGATCTACAACATCAGGCGCATGGCAAGCCGTTTCGGGTAGAAAAACAGAAGGGGCAATTATTTTTACAGTAGATGAGATAATTATTTTACCGTGTGTATGTTTATAAGCTCACTCGGTTTTTAAATGACAGGGAGGAGGGACACATAATGGCAACAACTGTAATTTTACAACAACCTCACAAGCTTCGGAGCTTGGTAAGAAAGGATAAAAATGGAGGAGGGATCTGTTAGGTGGGAAGAAAGGATGGTGAACAGTGAACGGAGTATACAATCTCGTTGACGCTATGGAACTAGTGAATGGCAAGATAGGATTCCTTGAATTCTTTGACAATGGATGAGTGGGGAGGAGAATATTTAAGGAGCCATTTGAATTGACTTATAGAGGAGTTTTAATGAGAGAGCAAGGGTGTGTATTATCCAATGACCTTTTTTTTTTACAGTGTCGATGGGTTGCTTGAGATTGTTGTTGGCCACTTTTTTCTAATCACAGGTTCAGCTATTAGAGGGTGGGTCCCACCATTTTGAACCCAAATTTTAAACGTAACAAAAACATATAATTTTTGCATTTTGGTTGCACCTCAGTTCCTGCCGCATTACCAAACGACACCTAATATTGATTCCACATATTATAATTAAATTCTAAAATGATTATGTACATAAATATACATTCAAATCATCTTTACAACATATATTTTATAATTTTCCAGCCCTAATAAAGACAATTATGGCTAGCCACAAGAACCAAAAAAATTATGATTTTTGTCCAACATTTTCCTTCAATTTTGGTTGTTATTCTCATCATTAGCATACCATCAAACTAATAAGTCATCAAAATAACATTACCACAACATTTACATAAACCCTAGAATTTCTAAGAATTGGGATTTTCTTTCTCCTTTTGGAGTTTAAGTTTGAAATTTTAAAGGAATCTTTCTTATCATTTCTTCCCTAATCCTTACACATATATCAATCATTCCCTCAATCCTTCTTGATAAATGAAGTGTATGTTTAAAATGGATCAATTTTAAATTTTTAGGCTATCATTTTAAAAATTTATATACTCTTGAAAGAATTAAAAAAAATTAAGAAACTTAGACAATATTTATTGTGAAAATTCTTTAAGAAAGAAGAATTAGGCTATTTTATTTATAAAGATGCGATAGTTTTATGAGTAAATCAGCTTGAAGTCATTCATATATGTAGTTTCGTTGATTTCCTTTTTAAAAAAAGACATTAGTCTCATCCTTATATTTTATATTTTGTTACATAAACCATTTGAAAACTTTTTTTTCTTTTAAAAAATTATAAATACAAAATATTTTACATGTAAAATGTTTTTCATAAATAATTTATATAAAAATTTTTTAATAAATAATAGAGTGAAAAACACAATTGTAATAAAAAGATGATAATGCGTTATGATGATAATATAATGGTGGTGCCTCATTTGCTTTGTAAATTTTCATCCCTTTAAAATAACATTACTTATCAATCACCTTGGATTAGAGCTTTTTGTCCACTACCATTGATTTTGCATAAATGATCAGTCACTAATCGATATACATAGTTGCTAGTTGCTGATTAGGGGAAATACTATAAAATTATAAACAACAAAGTGTGATATTTAATGTAACAACACATTTTATCAAACCCTTATATGACGTTATGCATAATTTGATTCCAACAATGACATTCAATACCCCTATATCTAATTTCAAAGTGTGATATTGGGATTTTCTAATTTCTTTTGATTTATTTTTTATAAAGTTATCTCGGTTTTATGATCTAGGTTGCGGGTTTGATAAGTTATCTCAAATTGTTTTTTAGATTTTTTTTTAATTTTATTTTTTTCAATTTAATCCTTCAACATTGGATTGATTAAAAATCAGATTTTATAATTTGTCTTGATTCGCTTTCTAAGAGATTATCATAGTCTCATAACACATGTCATATATTTGGCATGTTAACCCGGGTTGACCAAAGTCAATACAATATATTGTTAACTTAATATTAAAAAAAAATATCATCTTGAATTTTTTTATCAAGTTATGCTTTTATGGGTCATTTTGGTTGCTTTCAGATTTACAAAGTCAACTTAATCACATTATGCTAACCCTCACATGGTTAAAAAAAAAATTTCCTCTAGAAAAAAACATTAGCAATATCTTACTCTTTTTTATGTTAAAAAAAAAATTTAACCCAACCCACAACATAGCGTGAATTAATGATCTAGTAGCTATTAAAGCCAATGGTTTGACTATATTTATCAAAAATCTTTATACATTATTTAATTATTAGTTTATGGTTATTGTTTTTCTTTCTCCTATTTAGATATGGTTATGATTATAGTTATACCATCATTCAAAAAAGTGGATATCCATTTTTCATTCATTGTTAAGCAAATTGGAAGTTCAAGAGAATAAAGTATTTCTATTTTAAAGAGTGACACAACCAAAGAGTTGATATATTCTCCCAAGTGTAGGAGTGTCGAAGTAATAAATAACCCGGCAAGTTGGAGTCGAACCATAGGGAGGTTAACTATATAATAATAATAATAATAACAAGTTAAAGATGATTTTGAGATGTAAGATTAATGTGAGGATTAAACAATGATAAAAACAAATGTCAAGGTTAAATGATCCACTAATGATATTTCAAACAAGTATAGTTAAACAAGAGATTAATAAAAGAAAAACTTAAGTATTATAAAAATATAAATAAAGAGAGTAAGAACATAATCTTGATCTGAAAACCAAGATACTTAAATGTATGGCAAATACGTTCTTTTATAGGCTAAAATTTTAAACTATTCATTTGTTGATTAATTGTTAAGTAGGTGGCCACATTTTGACTTTGTAACAATCCTTATCTTTTTATCGGAATAAAACGTCAATGCCAACATTAGAATTTGAACCAATTGTCTTCATAAAAGTTCTAGAAAATTATCTCAACTTTCTAAAAAAAAAATATTAGTGCATTTGGACTTTTGGAACTCAAGATATGGGCTGGACATTGAACAGTGTCTGAACGGTATGACAGATTTAGACTTCTCTATTATTGCTATAATTTGAACTTGAAAACGACCTTTTTAAATCTTGAACTCTTATGAAAGTTTTAGGCCTATGTCTTAACTTTCCATTCATATATAGTAGACCTAAATCCAAGTTCTACAACTTCAATGATAATCCAATAATCGAATGGTGTTCTAGTTTGGACTAAACCAACATCTCTTTTCTAATCTTAACCCTCTCTTTGTCTTCTCAATTTCAGTAGTTAAACTTATCAATTAATCCCTTTATTTATGTGATAGGTCCACATTTAAGATGAACATTTACCATAAAGTAAATGTATCTTATATTATTAGATATATTATTATAAAATATGCTCTAAATATGTTATTATCCTTAGGGTGGAATAGGATTCAACTAAATAACAACTACTGATATATTGTAGTCCAGACCAAATATTTTTTAAATATAAAAAATCATATTCAAGTTTTAGGATTCATCTAAATAACAACTAGTGATATATTGTAGTTCAAACCAAATATTTTTTGAATATAAAAAAACATATTCAGGTTTTTAGGAATTCTTTGACAATATCATTAAAACTAACTCGACGGGTCAATTTTGAAACCTCATAACCCAATTCTTTAGTTAGCTCATGCTTTAAATTAAATCATGTGAGAGTTGTCCTAACATGAACTAATTGACTTGAATGATCTAAAAATAGCCTGAATAATCGATAAAAATATAGTTTGGCTTTAAAAAAAATTCAAGATGACTTTTTATTAAAAAAATATTAAGATGATGACATATGAGTCAACCTTACTAAATCTGCAACACAATATATACTTTACTAGGTTTAATAATTTTTTTGTGAAACTAATTTTATTTCATTATATGATAAAAAAAAATAAATGCTTGCAAAATTGAGCACTAACTCAATACCAAGATGTTTATTTGAAACTATAGTAACCTTATAAAAAGTAAAACAAATCAAATTGTAAAGTTCAATTCCTAGTCAACTTAATGTTGAAGGATAAAAATAAATATACTTTAGTAAAAAATAACATGGGTTATCCCTCCAAACCAATAACCCGAGTCATAGACTCTATCGGGTTTAATAACTTTGGTTAATTCGTCAAACCTACGACCCGAGTATGGACTCAACTGGGTTTAATAATGTTTTATTTTTTAAAACTGTATTTTATTTAATAATACTATAAGTAATAGACACTTACAATTGATGACCAACTTAATACCGGGATGTTGTGTAAACTATAGACGTAATTTTCTTAACAAAAATCCATTATAACCTTAAGAAAAAATTTAAAATAAAACATTAAAACAACGTTTAAGTATTTTTATATAAGATTGAAGACAAAAAAAATTATAAATTTGATAAAATTATATAAAAAATATATTAAAAAAAACATAAATCTCATGTTAATTGAATATTTATAAGTTTTTTCATACTCGGCATATAATAATTTGGTGAAAATGTTTTTTAATATTCCTATAAAAATTTATAATATTATTTAAAAAACATAAAGAAATTTAATAATGATTGAAATATAATGTTAATTGTTTTTTTTATAAATCTAAATAACAATACACACACACACTCACACACACACACATATATATATATACACACACACACACATATAAAAAGGCTAAGAGTTGACGTCTAGCATAATATATAAAAGGTCAGATGTATATGTGCTTATGAGGCTAGGGCCATGCACCTAACCCTTTTTATTTTTCTTTTATAAGGGTAGATATCTTCTTCTTTTTTTGAAAAAAAGAAACAAGCAATACCTCATCTGCTCATCTAAATTCTAACCACCATAGAGATAGCTATACAATTGGGATTAGGGTTTTTGAGCCTAAATAAATATATTATTAATATACTTTGAAACAAAAACACTTAATAAGTATCCTTAGCACCTCAACATATCAATCTCTCAACTTAAAATATCTTTCAATTGATCTAAAGACACCAAATGAATTTGAATTTTTTTTTCTCAATCCTGATTTGCATTTGTAGGCTTTATGAAGGTTTTTCATAGAACTTCTCTTTTTAAAAAGAATTTGTTGACACTAAAATCAAT